AATTATGAGTCTACATCTTCTAATCTTGTTTTGATAATTACAAACAATTTCTAATATTGTTTGTCTAGTGTTTATGTTTTCTTATTAGGTATTCTAGACAAACAATACGTTGGAGGTTGGATGGAATGAGCCTACACGATCACATCAAATGGAGGTTGGTAGAATAGTGGAATGAAGCCTATGCATACTAGTCAAAATCCAAGTTCAAGCTTCTTCCATGTTTACCAAGACAAGCTACAATAAAGATCTATCAAGCTTGGGAAAATTTGTTTAAGGTTTATATAATGTGCGTTAATTTTATAAGCTCAAATATACACACACATTTCATTTGTGAATTTTCTCAAATATAGGTGTTTTTATGCAAAATATGTTTTAATATGCTTTAGACTATACAAACATTATTAACATCTTTTATTATTTCCATATAAACATTACACAAGTTTTTAAAACTTGATTTGAGCTAAATGACAAAATCAACATGTTTATTAAACATGTATTTTAGTGTTTTTGAATATTTCCGAGATTTCACAAATGGTAAGAGCAAATTAAAAAATTCCTTTTCCAACATATTCATATTCATGTTTATAAACTTTTCCCAAAGTTTTATATTTTTTTGGAATTTATTTATTAATTTTTAAGGCTCTTCAAAGTTGGTTTTTACTATTCAAAACAGGCTGATACTACGTTATCAGTCCACTGATGAATGTGCTCAATCGACTGAAAAAAACGTCTGGAATAGTCAAAAGTTTCTGTTTCGTTTTGGTCGACTGACCAGTCGACTGATGATCCATCAGTTGACTGATAAAGATCGTCAGTCAACTGATGAGCTAGAAAATACCTACAACGGTCAGCTCATCAGTCGACTGATGAAACCCGTCCGTCGACTGATGGCCTGTAATGGCTATATTTCTAGCCTTGGTTATTTTATCATTTTTGCTGGTTTTTGCTTGGGTTTTGAGCCTTGGTTCTTCATCCTATATATACCCCATTCTATTTCATTTCTAAACCAAGAAAAAGAGAGTTTAAAAACAAGTTTTAAGAGTGGTTTAAGTTTGTTTAAGTGTTTACAAAATTGGTTTTGTGAAGATTGTTTCACAAGAAGAGGAGATCATCTTTGGTTTGAGCTTTCCATTTTACATCTTCATCTCTCTTGTTCTAGGGAAGTTTTCTATACTCATTTATCTAGTTTGTTTACATTTATATTGTCATATTTATATTTGCTAGACTTTAATTGAGTTTGATTTTATTTTCTCATTGCTTGCACACACAACCTTTGAGCTTAAGTATTTTCACATATTTTATAATTTGGGGTTGTGATGAGTGTAACCTTGAGAGTGAGTCTAAATTGTGTTCTCATCTATTATAGAGAACAAATCTTATAATTGAGCCTTAATTGTGAGAGTATCACCTTGTAATACACATTTACACTAAGAGGAGTGTGTGGTGAGGACATAGTAGATACCAAGAGGAGTGGCATCGGTAGTAAAGCCTAGAGAGAGGTAGTAAAGCCGAGCACTTGAGGGAAGTGATACGTGAGGACCAACACTTGAGGTTGTAGTTTGTGTATGTACATTATGAGAGATTTGTAGAGTTTTCGGTGAGCTAGAAAACCGAGTGTGTAGAGAAGTTCCGGCTTCCAAACCATGTGTATCGATAGTGGAGGTCTCCTCGGGAGTGGGGAGCGGAGACGTAGGACGGAAGATCCATACTCCGTGATCATATTATTGTGTTTGGATTACTCTTTGTGTCAACTATTTGTTTATATTGTTTCTTATTTTATTTTCCCCTTTGCATATATATCCTTACATATATCTTATTGAATATCATCATTGTTAAGATATATTTGTTAATTAATTTTAATCAGCATTAATATCTAATAAGATTAGCAATAACCCTATTCACCCCCGCTCTAGGGTACTTTCAGGTTATTTATTCTAAATAGAATGAGTAATCGTAATAAGGTACAAAAGTCACTAACACATCACATTCACCAGTTGGTCTCGTGACTCGAACTTGCAGGAGTATACGAGTATAAACTGGTCCTCCCCACTCCAACACCTTAAGAGCTTAAACTGTGTAGACTCCAGTTCACGTGTGAGTATAAACTGTGTTCACGCCAGTCAACGTGTTATGGAGAAGGTCAAACACCGATCCACATGTTGTAATGAAGGTCAACACGGGTCAACCCGTTGCCATGAAGGTCAGCACCAACCAACAAATTGATAGTTTCATCGAAACAAGACTTAGATCAATTATAGGTCAAATGATAATCCCCTAGGAGATCAACCACGATTCAGATATAAACTCCCGATGAAGATGATCAAATCAACATCGATTCAACGACACGAGCTAATTCAGATATCAACACGCCAGTCTCTGTTCAAGATTTCAACACGGCCAGACGATAAACACAGCACTAAATTTTTTTTACCTATTCGACAAAATACTGAATAGATTAAAAGTTGAAGAAGTCAACGAATTGAAGATTGGGCGTATCATATCCAAAGTATTCTAGGCTCCTCTATAAAAGAATGAGACTGAAACACTTTGGAGGGGTATCTGTAGGCGTCAAAAATTACCTATAGGTCCCTAAACACAGCTCTTGATGACGAGCCGTTGAGCGACGAACCGTCAGACAACGTGGCAACGAGCCATCGAAAAAAAAAGCGGTGAACCATTGATGACGTAGTAACAAGCCACCAGAACAGCAAAACAAGGGAAAGCGCGCTCATCAGCCACCTCCAAGTGCCCCGTGCGCTCATCAACCACCTTCAAGTGGCCTGCGCACTCGTCAGCCATCTCCAAGTGGCCCGAGCACTCATCAGCCACCTCCAAGTGGCCTGTGCACTCATCAACCACCTATAAGTGACCTACGCACTCGTCAGCCACCTCCAATTGCTCACACGCTCATCAGCCACTTCCAAGTTTCCCGTGCGCTCATCAACCACCTCTAAGTGGCCCGCGTGCTCATCAGTCATCTCCAAGTGGCCCGTGCGCTCATCAGCCACTTCTAAGTGGCCCGCGCACTTGTCAGCCACCTCCAAGTGGCACGTGCACTCGTCAACGACCTCCAAGTAGCCCGCGCAATCACTGGCCACCTCCAAGTGGGCCGCACATTCACCGGCCACCTCCAAGTGGCCTACGCACTCATTAACTCGTCCAAGGCTAGGTGGCTCGGCTAAGGCCGAGCCACCATTGGGTGGCTCGTATAGTTCCAAGCCACCATATGGTAGCTCGCGCCCAGAAATGCTTAAAATGTATTTTTTGATAGTTTTCTCTGGATTCTTTCATTCCAGAGCCTCTCTAATTAGTTGATATCATCTCTAAATATGGTTAAGCGGTTGTTAACTAAAGATAAGGTCAAATCATCAATTCTTATCTAAAAATGCTGCATCCGAAGCTATAAATACAAGCCTAGGGTCCTATACGCAGGGGATCTAAAATTTAGACGAGGTGATGTCCCTACGAAGAGTGAATCATGAATTTCAGAGAGGCTAGTAGATCTTAGCAAAGTTCTTTAGCATAAAGAAGAGAGTTTGAGAGATCTAAGGCTATTTCCCCTTTTCTCTGGATCAAACTTGGTTTTGATCTCGAGAAGAGTCGTAATCTCACTTGGTTGAGATTATTACTCCTGCGATTGTTTTCTTTGTGAAGCAAGAACATTGAATTTTTATTTTGTCAACCGAATCTGATCCGCAGTGGTCCACAGACTAACACGCCCATGGCACTGGCAAAGATGCCACGCAAGCAGCGGGCGATAAATATCCTCTGTGTGTTGTTGAAGAGAGTTGTATTTTTCTTATTTTTATTGTGTAAGAAAGTCTTATAAAAAGACTAATTTTACTTTAAATCTGTAATTGATAAATGTGTAATAGATTCAGTAATGAAAACAACTTTCGATGCAAACAAGAGATAGGCGGGAGCAGCGCATTTTTAGGAACTTTAGCCGTGCAACCATCTTCGACAGATAGAGTGGTCAGAACTCAATTGGAGGACTCTTGGATTCAAACCCGAAAGGAGGAGATTTCCAAAGAGCCCATGGCTAATTGGGCCATGGGAGCAGATGTAAGTCTTCGAATGAAAGGCCAATTAGTGATACCAAATAATACACCGCTAAAGAAGGACTTACTTGATGAGGCGCATCGTACCAGGTACACAGTGCATCCAGGCACAACCAAAATGTATAAGGACCTGAAGAGATATTTTTGATGGAGTGACATGCATAGGGATATCGTGGAGTATGTATCGAAGTACTTTACCTGCCAACAAGTGAAGGTAGAACATCAGAGACCCGTGGGAATCCTACAACCTTTACCCATTCCCGAGTGGAAGTGAGAAGTTATTTCCATAGATTTTATTATAGGCTTACCGAGATCTATTAAAGGGAATAATTCAATTTGGGTGATTGTAGACCGATGGACAAAGTCAGAGCATTTTATACCAAGGAAGACAACTTATACGGCGGAGACTTATGCAAGGATTTTCATCCGGGAGATCTTTAGACTACATAGAGTTCCAGAGACGATTGTATCAGATCAAGCTCAGTCTTCACTTCACATTTCTAAAAGAGCTTCCAGAATTCTTTCGGTAGCTAGCTATCGTACAATAATATTTTCCATCCACAGACAGATGGACAAACAAAAAGAGCCAACCAAGTATTGAAGGACATGTTGCGGGCATGTATTATCAATTTCCAGGGAAGTTGGGAGGATCACATCCCTTTGATTGAGTTTGCTTATAATAACAGTTATCAAGTGACTATAGGTATGGCACCGTATGAGGTGTTATACGGAATGCCTTATAGATCCCCGATTTGTTGGGCAGAATCGAAGGATAGCTTGTTACTTGGGCCGTAGCTCGTGAGATAGAATACAGAGAAGTTAGCAATAATTGGAGAGAATATTCTTGCAGCATAGAGTCGGTAGAAGAGCTACACAGACCAGAGGTTATGACCACTAGAGTTCTAGGTTGGGGACCATGTTTTATTGAAAGTATCGCCGATGAAGGGAGTTCAGGGATTTGGTAGATGGGGAAAGCTTGCCACGAGATATATTGGTTCATTCTGGATTGTGGAACGTATTAGAGCCATTTCATATCGGCTAGATCTTCTAGCATCAATGTCGAGCATACATGATGTTTTTTATGTTTTGATTCTCAAGAAGCATTTACGTGATGAGGAGCAACAACGAGTGTTGGACACACTGGAGGTTGAGATTCATGATGATTTGACCACTATTGAGGCTCCAGTTCGCATTCTTGCTAGAGAGGAAAAGAGACTTAGAAATAAGGTGATTCCTTTAGTGAAAGTGCAATGGAACTGGAAAGGAGCTGAGGAGGCTTCTTGGGAGCTCGAAGAGGATATGCGTCACGACTACCCGCACATGTTTGAATAGGTAAAATGTTAGTTATGAATTGCATATGTTATTTGTATAGTCGTATTTATATTTAACGCTGGAATGGGGGTATTAACACTTAGCTCCTAATCATTCAGAACACATGGTATATACAGGGGTGATTCCTTGTTTGGATTTTTTGCCCGACGTACTAGTTCCGCTTAGTTAGAGGTTAAGTGGGAATACTTGCATTCCAGAGTGTTAGATGTAAATACCGCTTGTGTTTCATATCTAGAGATTGATGGCACGAGATGTGTATGTGAGGGTTTCTTTGTCTTGTCCACTCAATGTGCTTTTCTTGTATTATTAATCTCTAAGACACGATTGTAGAATTTCGGGGATAAAATTCTTTTAGGGGGGGTGTGAATGTGAAACCTATAATTTTTGATATATAGTAAATAATAATAATAAATGAGTAATATTATGATAAATATCATTCATTAATGATTGAGTATGTTAGAAATCAATTTGAGATCGATTCAATGTATTTTTATAAGCCAACGATGTAAATATACACAAAACCATGCATAGACACAAAACCTATAAGTCAATTTGCGTTATGGTCGGTTCACCGGCCTAGGCCTATCGGTCGACCGATGGCACCCGATCGATTGACATGCCTAGCGGTCAGTCGACCGACGGGCTTCTAGAGCTCCAGTAGGTTTCGTTTTTGGGTTGGTTTTGTTTGGCTTTGAGCCCAGTTGTATACCTAAGTATATATACTTGTTTTAAACCTCTTTTAATCATCTTTCACGTGATATATCAATAGACACCTTCCCTCTCAAACCCTAACCCTAGATTGTGAGTTTCTGGGAGTTTTCTTGAGGCATTTGTCGAGAAGATGATAGGATTCATGACCTTGGTGAGGAGGATCTTGCACGCACGTGTGTTTGGGAGTTTCAACACAGCGTTTGAGGCAAAATCATCTTCCTCTAAACCTTTCCCTATAGTAACGCATGGTTTAATGTGTTTAATTGATTAATCTACTGCTTAAAGTTTAATTGGATGTGATAAAACCTAGTTTGTGATGTTAAATCTAAAACTAATGAAAAGATATGTAAATTTAATCTCTGTTTAATAAGAATAGTTAACCATGATCAGTAGGATTGTATTAAATTTGTAAATTAATGTTTTATATGGTTTAAAAACCCTAGTTTAATTTTTCAAATGAATTTTTGCTAATTAAGATGTTTAAACCCTAAGTTTATGATACATAGGTGATGAGATCTTATTTAAACAAATCTATATTTGTGGAATAATTAGAATTGATCTTTGTTTATTAATCATGTTGGGGAAATATGTATTTTATTCGAAAATTTTGGTTAATTAGGATGTTAAACCATAATTAGTTTAATTCAAGAGTCTTAATCACGTTAAGTTAACCTTTGTTAAGTAATTACGAAAGTTTAAACCATGTTTTGCTTTGCATGCTAACAAAATTTTGTTTTGGAGACAAGTTACAAAACACAAAAACCTGAGAAAACCTGAGATAGTGTAATAGGTCGACCGATCCCAAGAGATCAGTCGACTGATTGCGTCGCTAGGGCATTTTGTGTATGTTTGCTGTCGGTCGACTGATGCTTTAGAGCGGTTGACCGACACCTTGTTTTGTTTGCAATAATTTTTCTTGCACGTTTAATTATGAACATGGGATTCGAGCCATACGACAATACACGTGTGCAACCATGGGTACATGGATATCCTGAAGAGGATTATTGCAATAATTGTTTCGATCATGTTTGAGTGAACAATTAATTATAATATACATGCTTGTATGGATATCGTTGATGAGCATAACTTAGTACTACTTGGGATAGTTCGTTGATATTCCGTTAGTATAGGCCATTGAGTCGTGATTTTAGGATACCTGATTTGGTAGTCCGTCCCACACGGGGATGCGATAAGGCTAGAGAATTGTACTTCTAGGATACCGGATGTGGTAGTCCGTCCCGCATGGTGATGCAATGAGACTAATGAGCCGTGTACATATTTAGGATGCATGATTAGGTAGTCTATTCAGTATGATAATGCAATGAGTTATAAAGCCTTACGAGATATTTTATTGTGATATATCCGATAGCTTGAGTCTTTGGCAGAAGTCATTTATGAATATGATTCATCGTTGAGTTATATTGTGACCGAATTACTTCGCGTTTGGGAGTTACAAGAGATTTAGTTCTTGTATCCAAATCATCTACCCCAGGGTAGCGCGAGTTATATGGTTGATATTTATGATATTGTAGCCACTTTACTATTCTATATTGTTTTCCTTTATCTTTTATTCTTAGTTTGGAATTGATATTTAGCGATTCACAATTTCAGACATATGATATATACATGAGGGTTTCCTTGTTTGGATTATTTTACTCGACGTACTATGTCTCTTGTTATGGAATTCTAAATATTAATCTCATTTGGATACATGGTAAATAATTTAGGTAGATTATGCATAATAGATAGAGCCTCCATCACATTTAGTAGCCCTTCCCCTGGGGGCGCATGGAGATGATCTTGCTAAAGCACTCTGATGCTATTGTTATTTTCCTTTTTGTTTTCCCTTCTTTCAAGGCAGGAGATCAGTGTTCCGAGAGTCGTAGGTTAACAGATTCATAGCATAGTCACCGTCACTTATTTGTAATAGTTGATGCTCCACTGTAGTTTAATGTTTACTTTTAGACATTTAGAGTTTTGTTTTATTTTGTAAAGGCTGTGTGCCTTAGTACTATTTTTAGTTGTGATACGAGTCCCCGTACGAGCACATTTAATCGCGGAATTATTAAAGGTGGGTTGAGAAGAAAATAATAAGAACACAAGAACAATTCTGTGGTGACGAAGGAAAATACCTTCTCTAGATTATGAGAATAAAATAGTTTACAATCTGTCATAATCTCACTAGAATTAAAGAATAATCTCTCTCAATTCTCAAATACAATTTAATCTCTCTTGATTACTTTCTCCCTTTTTTTAAAACCCTAAAACAATCCCTTATATAGGTGTAACAATATGGATGGCAAAATGGTAAATAACCAAGCCTAAACTCTACAGGAATTTGTGCAAATAGAAATCCAAACGAACCAGGAAACCATCGATGAGTCGACTCATAAATATACATGAGTCGACTCATGCCAAGTGAGTCGACTCATGATGAGGTGAGTCGACTCGTCAGAAACTTTTAACAAAACGGTTGGGTTTCGTGAGTTGACTCATGACAGGCATGAGTCGACTCAACCTGATGAGTCGACTTATGTACATATATGAGTCGACTCACGGGCTAAAAACTAGATGCTTCGAATCTTCGATTCGCCGTCTCGTTTCACGCTTCAACCTGCGTTCCACTATATTGTTAAGTTATCATCGAGAAGGAAAGAATTATCCATCCTCAAGCTCCCATGAGGATCTCGAAGTTCCAAAGAGAAGATACACCCGTATCATGTCTCCCCCCTTTAGGAACTTGAAGTCTCATTCAAGTTAGAACTTCACCAGAGGAAATTCGCGAGCTCCTCCTTCCTTATTGAACCACTTAGCCTTGCTAGGAACCTGACCTTGACGTCCAATGAGAAACGACTCCTTCATCCCCCGCCTCGTCATGGTCGTCTTCCGCTCCAAAATGCAATCTTCCTTCAGCGGCTCCTTGCTATCAAACCACAAGTCTTCAACATGCGGCAAGATCACCTTGTTGTCACCTTCATCATCCAGCAATGGAGGCTCGAACAACTTTCAGTACTCGACATTGATCACCGAATACATGCCTAAGTAAGGTGGCAAATCCAGCCTGAAGGTGTTGTCACCAATCTGATCGAGAATCCGAAATGGACCATAACGTATAGGTTTCAACTTCTTTCCTTCTCCCTTTAGCCTCTCCTTACTTAATTTCAGCCATACCATGTCGCCTATGCCAAAGTTACAAGGAACCCGATGCTGATCATACTTCGCCTTGTACTTGGCTTGTGATTTCTTCAATTGAACTTCAACCGTGGCATGAATATGTGCAATCTTCTCCAGAAATCACTGAGCATGTTGTTTCTCACTCCCTTCCTTGCTGTTGGTCGTAGCTTCACTGGAAAACATGAGATCAAACGGACTCGGAGGTAAAAATCCATAACAAGTCTCAAACAGTGACTTTCCCAAAGATCCATGAATAGCCTGATTAAATGCAAACTGGAGATATGGTAAGCTCTCATCCCAAGTCTTGGGATGCTTGGAATTGTATCCTCTTAACATATGTACCATAGTCCGATTAACTACCTCTGTTTGTCCGTCGGTTTGTGGATGAAAGGCCATTCTCTTTTTCAACCTAGTGTCCATCAAGCTCTACAAAGAATCCCAAAAGTGTTTGAGAAACCGGTTATCTTAATCTGAAATAATCGAATTCGGTAACCCAAAGTGCTTCCACACATGCTCAAAGAACAATTGCGCCGCACCCACTCCTGCCATGGTCTTCTTACAAGGAATCAAGATGACCATCTTGCTGAACCAGTCCACCACAATGAACAAATAATCATTCCCGCGCTTAGTCGTTAGTAATCCTCCTAAGAAATCCATAGAAATACTCTCCCACGGTCTCGACGGTACCGGCAATTGTAGATACACTACCCTTTTCCTATTAGAAGGCTTCAATATGCAACATAGCTTACACCCTCCAACATACTTAGTGACATCCTCTAACATCTTCGGCCAAAAGACATGACGCCGTAGATTGAGAAGCGTCTTCTGAATCCCAAAATAACCTTGCACACATGATGTATGGGCTTCTCGAATCCACTGCAATCGGTCGCCATCCTCCGGAATGCATACTAACGTCCCTCGATACAACAAACCATCTGCACCAATCTCATACTCCCCTTTCGACCAGCCTTCGCCTGTTCGAACACACTACTGAAATCTCGGCTGGATGTGTACATCTGTACATACACCAAAGGAACCAAGGGCTGAATGCACGCTGCCACCAAGAGAGCTCTCATGGGTGGGCGAGATAACATATCGGCTAACTTGTTCGTCGT